TATTAGGTTGGTGCGTATGAAATGTCGGATTCTCTTTACATGCGGACGTTTGTCTCCCTGTTTTCGTTATACTTTTGTCTTTGACATAACCTCATTCATAGTCGTATTGTCCATTGCCAGAGACTCATTTCAGCAAAATAGGTTTTCTCGAAGGTCTTCCCTTTTGTTATTTCTTTTAAGTTTATTGCCGATATGAATTCTGCCGACATTCGCGTCATTTTCTTATATGAGTACAAACTTGGTAATAGTGCTGCAAAAGCTGCACGCAACATAAACCAAGCGTTTGGGGAGAATACGGTTAACGATCGGAAAGTGCAGCGTTGGTTCGAAAAATTTCGGACTGGCGATTTTTCACTGCAAAATGAGCCGCGCGGAAGACCCAAAACGTCTGTGAAGAATGATGACCTGAAGGCTCTAGTGGAAGCGGATCCAGCCCTATCCACGAGGGAACTTGCTATCAGGATGAAAGTTGACCATACAACGATATTGAGACACCTTTCTGAGATTGGCAAGGTTAAGAAGATGGACAAGCACGCACAATAGTTAGGACATAAATCATACGCGTCGAAGAAAAATGGGCAAACTCATGATACATAGGCGTAAATAAATAGAACATAAACTTCAAAGGTATACAATTAATAAATAAATGTACGGAGTATAATAAATAAATCGTAATATAGAAACTGACGAAAAGTTGGCAGTCGGGTTATTATGGAAGCAGTTATTGCAAAGAATGTCAGCTGGAGCTTTATTACATATATTAACATACGAAAAAACGTAATAAATATTATATATATACAACTTGTTGTTGCCTTTTATTGTGAGTATGCGGAGAGGACTAAATGACAAATCCTTTTAATGAAATTAATCGCGAAGACTCAGACTGTCTATGTACAAAATATATACAAGAAATCAATTGAAACGAAATTGCACTGAAATTATCAACCATTTATCGATAATGTAGGAGTTTGTAGAGGCTCGAATCATCGAACAAACCTGTTTATATATATTATATGTCTCATTGTATCGATACAAAGTGGTCTCTACATCTTTCTTGAATTACCCTCCTCTTTTCTTCAAATAGTCTGACAAGTATCTACGTGGGCGATGAAAAGCTCTTTCGCCAGCTATTCTTGTATTTACAACACATATTTATATTTATATATGTATTGCCCGATTATTGCAACAATTTACCAAAAAATATCTACACGTAAAAATATATATATGTATATACATATAAACACACATACACATGTATGTCGCACGTGCGTACGTACGCGTGCCGACCGAAATCTTCGTTTGTCACGATTCGTCGATTATAGGGGATTGAAACCGAAATAATTATGATAACTATTCGAGGCTTTTGATTTCAGTTATAATATTAAACAATATTAATTCGTTTATAGAAAAATTTGTTCTATAACCACGTGTGTTACTATCTTCAGCGATAATATTTCGGTTTCTATTCCCTGGTCTGTTCTAGCTTTTCAGCATCCAAATAATATATCTTTTTACACTGTCGCGTTATTCGTGATCCATGTGACAAAAAATAAAATTCATGCAAAACTTCGTTCACAAAAATATTCTATTTAGAAGTGTAGAACCAAATGTACAATTGGCCAATCATAATTTCCACATTGTTGTTTACGTTTACAAACCTTAACAGTATAATACTTTTGTTAAATTGTTAGTGTTATAGCGTTTATTGCAAATAGGAATCGATAGCTAACTGCACACTAATTTTTTCTAATAGTTTCAACCATTATTTAGCTTCACAGAAGATTCGATAAAAAAATAAATGCGAAGTGTATATGATAAATATGGAATAAAAGAAAGAAATAATTAAGATATTGATTGTTCGAAAGAAAGAACGAGTTCATTCAAAGAATTAAAACATGTTGTTTCTAAGGAGAACACATTGGCCATTCATTAGGTTCAAAATGGTTTTCAAATTAACTATGGGTGCAATGTTCATCAACCATACTCTCATAAGATTCGTTAACTCTCTGTTTAAAAATTGCTAAAGCAACTGAATATTATAATAAAATTAATTGTAACAATCTAGTACGCGGGTTTAAGAAAACACAGTGTCGATTGTACAAACAAGTTCTGTTTGCAATGGTCATACAAGTGTTAAAATCATGTCTGTTTGACGAATTTTTTAAATTAACTTGTTAATCGAACGATACGAAACGTCGTACGAAAACAATTTAGTTCTCCACTTTGGTTTGTTTTTGCATGTAATATTAACTTCCTTATCAACTGCACCACGAATAACACAATCTTCTCTACGTTACAATATCCTTCCGGTTCATGGAAGAAGCGTAATTCTCCCTTCGTCGTGTGCGTGTGAATAATGTTCCCCACTTTGTGCGTGCACGCGCGCGTGTACACATAGGGGTGGCGATACAGTGAATCAAGAAGTTACTGTCTTAAAACAATGGGGACTGTCAACTCGTCCGGGTTTGTGAAAAATATGTTTAAAAGACACAGTTACAAAGCAAATACATTTGACAATAACACGAAACAGAAAATTGGTAAATTTTCTTAAGATTAATCAATTAAATTATATCGATAATTTATAAATATATCAACATCATAGAATGTCACAAAAAGTAAATAGCAAAACATCCAAAAGCAACAATAAAAGAATTAATACAGCTCTAAACCATCAGCGAGAAACATTTTTACCTACCGATCTATAATAAATTATTTTGCAACTATACCTTCACCACTGACAGTAATTGCATTAGGACCAATTTTTTAAATATTTAAAGAACAGTCCTAAATCTAAGGACTTTGAAAAAAAGAAGTTTCTGTTTATGTCGCCACTGGATTTGCTACGTTAATACATCGTTGTCTCAACTTTGTATGGTTACACAAAGCTTATCGGGCCCATTGGATTTACTATATCAACGCATTACCTTCAAGTGTACATGGTACAGAAAGCGCGCGTGCGCTTGCACCTTCTCATCTTTTTGACTCAAGTTCGCCGCGCTTTTTTCTTAATATCTCACTGGCAGATTGTGACAGTTGCTCTTACTAATGGTTGGACGTTATTTCTAAACGCTCGATCGAAGATCGTGTCGTTTATGTCAAACCGAAAGGAACAACAGCTACTTTTTTTTTTTATTACAAATACACCTAAGCGTTCGCACATGTGATCTAGCAAGTTTGTTCCGATTAACAATAATTGGACTGCGGACTTCACGTATTTCTTGGCGAGCATCTTACCGAATACAATATATTTAGATCTCAAAATTAGTCTCAAAATCATCAAAATATATAGACTTCCAGTTAATTACTGTCTCAAAAACCGCGGTCATTTATTTGCTGATCGTATAAACAAATACAGACAATAATAAAAACAATGTTGTATAGTTTCAATGTCTTTCGTAACGCATTCCCCGCTGCATGGGTCGTCGGTGATCCACGATGTATATTCGAAACGAAACTTAGGTCGATTAGAGGTCCCTATCCTTTGGCTTCATGTTCGGAATAAAACGATACAAATAACAAAAGGCACAAAACATATACAATTAAATATTATAATACGTATATAAAATTTCGGGTGGTCAGGGACGTATAATAAAATTGTTCATAAAAAAACGAAGGTGCACGTTATTACTATTGAATTTGTAAACTAGTCGACGCGCGGTTGCATCGCTATCCACAGTCCAGTTAATATACGCTAACGCGATTTCTATGACATGTACATTAAAAAACATACTCGGACGATCCGCGTTACACTTGCGAATGCTGCGTCGCACAAGAATCTCTCGCTACGAACCACATTTAATCTTAATAAAATATATCGAATACACGCATCTGAGTGTTAACCCCCTACGGTCCAGTATGGCTTCAGGATGTGTCCTGGTTGCGGTGATTCTACAGGTAATGTTGTTCACCTGTTTATCTTGACACCTCGCTTTCCGGCGATTATTTCAGAATTTTCAAAGATCTGTAATTTATAGCTAAACATTTTTTAATCATTTTATCAACGGTAGTAGCAATACCAATCGTTAACAGGTCACCTTAACAGTTTCCTCTAGGATTATTATTTAGAGGATTCTCTTTGTTATGCATAATCATTACAAATTCTATTAATAGACTTCAATATAAATTTAAGATTTTTAAGAACACCACTAATGGAACCTAGCACATTTTTCGTTGAATTATTATAAAGGATACCACAGATCGGTTAAATTGAATTATTCAATATCACCGTAAAAGATAGTGACAGTGTACACCTTGAGGATTCTAGTCCTTAAACGTCCAATGAATTCAGCTATGAATCGATTAGGAAATTTTGACGAATCAAACATAAAAATGTAAACATCTAATATGAAATTTTGTTCGGATCCAATAGAAGAAGACATGGTTCGAAGTGAGTTGGTCCATAGAGAGTTAAGAGGAAATATCAGTGGTCGTGTGTCGAGTACATCGTATGGATCATGTTTTACGATTTATTAATCGCGCGATAACTCATTCTCATCTATCATCACAGACGGAAAAAGACTTAATTATAATGTAGCGAAGGGCCGACGAGTTCCGTCCACATTCGTCTCGCTCTCCTTCGGCACCACAGAGGTCTCTCGGTCTCTCTTTCTCTTTCACACACACTCTTCCTCTCCCACTTTTGCTCTCTCTCTCTCTCTCTCTCTCTCTCTCTCTCTCTCTCTCTCTCCTTCTCTCTTTCTTTCTTTCTATAAAGAATAAAGTTCAAGCAAAAAAACAAGATCACACCGAGACGCTCCTTGCGGTAATCTTTAATCAGGTTATGCTTTGCCGTTTTTTTTCTTTTTTCTTTTTGTTCATTTATTTTTTACTTATGGTAACATCGAGAGGGATGCCGAAAAAAGGCGTCCATCGAACACACGGATTACTCGCACGACAAATAACGAAAATTCTGCACGAGCATTAACAATAATAAACCATGTGTGCAGAGGACAACAAATCGCTGGTTAAAGTCGCTTAAACTATGCACAAGACTTCGCAATTTTCAAACCGTCGTCATTCAACCTCTTCCACATTGTACTGGATTCATTCAAACGTACCCGCGCGAGAACGGAATAAATTGAGATTCACTGAATGATCACTGGATCGTGCGGGATTACGCACGATCTAGCAGCCACGAAGCTTTTGTGCTGGTAGCTCGAAGATGAAATGGCGATGAAACTGAAGAGGACGCTCATTGACGTTAGAGCGGGGCAAGAATCGCAAGGAATCATTGTATCGCGAAATAGCGAGATGGTAGAAGACCGATGGATCAGAGAACCGTACGACGAAGCCATATGTGGTCGCTTTCTAAATACAAAAACAGTACCATTGTTTGTTGAATCCTTCTCTTTTCTTCAAACTTTTCTATAAAAATCTGTTCTTATACAGACGTCCGCAGTCTGTTACATATACAATCGTACTAATGAATTTACAATGATCCCAATCGAAAAGTAATCGCTAGACTGCAGACATGTGTTTCCAGTTTAAAAGCTAATCAATTTTATAATTCAGTAATCATATAGCTTCAACGTTTGCAGTGTTTGTTAGTTAGAATATCATTTTTAATTTTTGCTTGTATGGTTTACAAACTATTTCTTCTTAAGTTTGTATATTCTATATGATTTACTAAAACGATTGGCAGAGATAGAAATAGTTTCTTGAGCCTTCAACAATGGCACCGGTACTGCAGTGTTCGCACACGTCGTTTTTCCTCACACGGTTCGCATCTCCGTCATGTCGTGTACGCGTGACAACATTTGGTGTGTATACAGAATGCAAAGACGTCCTTATTCCGAGGAATCACGAATTTCGCAGTTGCGCAATAGTATCTTCTTATCACAATAGATCGGTGAAAAGTCGAGCGCCGCAGCAGCGCGTCATCATAATAAGTAGTGGTTTTTCGTAAGCCTTTTCGAGTAGAACACATTACAGTCTCTCTGAACGACAATGTTAAAAAACCATCATCTAAACGAAAAGCTAGAGCAAAGGTGTCTCTTAGGAATCTAATAACGCTACCTATTGCTACTAACAGATCCGTTCGTCGGGAACAGTTACTTTCAATCGGTTCTACGTATTTTCTCTTTTTTTTTTGTTCTTGTTTGCTTTGTGTTTCTATTCTCTGCTTGGTCCCACGAAAATTGCGCGATCGCTCGAGAAAGTACACATGATCTAATTTTTTTTGACGATTCTACAAGAATAATGGACACCAATTTTTCAAGTGTGTGGTCTACGGTCGTACAAACTAGAGAAATACGAACCATAATTGACCAATCTGAAACACAAAGATTCTAATACGCATTCAGCTGACTTTCATCGGAATAAGGCATGCCGCCGTTTTTGTTTCTTTCTCGGTAATTACAAAAAACGACATCGTCTTAGTATTTGGAAGTCGATTGAGATTAATATCACGCTGAAGCGTAGCTACAATAGGAAGGTCTCGCAGCATACGAAGCAGACCGGGGCGTCGTTTAATAAATCTCAAAGAATTATTAACGGATCATTCTATTTAGTTAAACAGACAATCACATAAAAATTAATTTATAGAGTTTCGAGACAGAGAGAATATTCTATAAGAAAGTTGTGAAGACTTATCTTTCACAACTATTACAGGAATACGAATCCCATTTGCGTTTGAAAAAAAAAAAAATATTCTGTATTATTTATTATCCGATTTTCTGCAAAACAAGATTTAATCGAAGCCCAGGCCTGAAAGAAAATTGCGTCCCGCGTACATCATCGTGACGCCTCGAATTCTCGAATCGTGTCGTTGTTCGAAAGTTACAAAAGAGCCCGCCATCTTGCGTCATGATTCTATGTATTAACAATTAGTACAGTTTTGCGAGTGTTAAACACGCTCAATCAGCGATTAATCCTAAGTATCTTCACATTTCGGAGTATCTGAAAATAGAGATATCTAAGCATTTGTTTTTGTTTTCTTTCTTTTTTATATACTAATCTGACCGGTAACTCTTGAATACCTCCTCGTTCATCTAATATGAATTCTCCTGATAAGGACTAACGTCAGTACTATCGAGTTGCCTATCCCTTACATTATGTATAAGTCGTATCAAAATCAAGGAAAAATAGGTTTCGCGACTGGACAATAACGAACATGATAGTACGAGCGTCTTCCGATGGTTAATATTCTCTCCTTCCATGTTTCTCTTATTTCTCTCTTTTTTACCTTTCGTTCTTTTTCATCTCGTCGTCTATCGTTCGTGTCGTAAAGTTCTCGAGGAAGTGAACACTGCTGAAAACTTCTGTCAAGACTTCGAAACGTAAGCTTGACGGAAGCTTGGGCGCATCTCTTGTACCACTCTTCTAGTAAAGCTTTTATATATGTTTGTATATATACAAATACAACAAATTAAATCTGTTGTCTGAGAGCCTCTATCATGTGATCACGACGAACATTAACTGTCCCGGTTTGGGTGTTTGGCAAGGAATCGTCGAGGCCAGGGTAGAGGCCAGTCGTATTGTCGTGGCACCGTGCCGCCCACATTTTTCTCGAAATATTTGAACATACGAAACCACCAAAGCCGGGTCAAGAAGTTGTTCGGTTCGTATTGCTGGAAATACGAAAATGCTTCCATTAATATAGCTATTCTACTAGGTTGGTGCCAACGATTTGTCGGTCCAATGGGCCGTATTACGCCGTATATGTATATGTATATTCGCTGTAGTTAAGCAGAATTCATTCTTTTTTTTAATTGAAGAAGTCATAATGCTAAGAAACGTTTAGATCTATAATACGAAATGCATGTATGCATATGCCAATGGTTTGTGAAAGCAGTCCAAGTTTCGAACTGAATGCTGTTTTAACGACGTAACTGCCAACTCAATTTAGCGATCCAATTTCCTCTTGGTATCACATTTTTATAGCGTTCAGTTTAATTTCTTCTAGATTTATGATTTTCAAATATGTTATTCAAATAGTTCCCTTCAATTTTACTATAAAATATTTAATGTTTGCAATAACATTTTACATGACGTTTTATGAAAACAAGAATCCCTTGCACCAACCTGATATTATTTAATTTATTTTTATAAAAGATGTATCTCATTATAGAAAAATATTGATGTGTCGAATTTTCTAAGCTAATATACATTCACTTACCTTAAGGTGCGAATTATTGGCTAACGTATGATAAATATACCATAAGCGTGTGGTTACGTAGTAAGCTATGAGGACGTCCACGGTATAGTGTCCATGGGCCACCAAGACCATTACTACCCCAACGAGAACCGTTATGCCTGCTAGCCAATGAATTGGTTTACACCTTCTTGGAGAATCTACAATTTCAAATTTCTTTTGAAACTTACAATTTAATAATATCAACGTCATCAATTTTACGATTAGTTGTTACATAAATTCTCAGTAAAATTTGACACAGACAATTAGAAGACCATGTAAAAACTGGTAAGGAACGAAATTTGTTACATTTCCTTTACTTTTTTGCATAAAAAACAGTGCAGTCGAAGAATTCATCTTTTAAACCCGCTGTCTAACGATTAGCATATCATTTAATGTGTAACTAAGTTTACAAATTCAGCAGACAAAACGGGACCAAGGAACTGAAAAAGTTTGTCAAAAGCAGAAGTTTCTGAAACTCTATACAGTGGGACTGTTGTCTAGAATATATGTAGCAACCAAACGTTTCAATTACAGGGGTAAGTACGTACATTCCTCGATAATCAGGTAACTAAGTACAAGCACGACCGTATGACCGCTGTAAATGTAATCCCCACAGTAAGTGTGCTTGCCATTTATAGACAAGCCGAAGCCAGAAATGAGCTGCAGAACCCTCTTCATAACAAGAAGCGGACTAGTATTGTTCGCTTTCGGGCTGCAGAAATATGTCTTACTGGCTACCGGCAGTACTGTCACGAACATCGTGACACTCCTCATCATATACAACAATCCCATCAAAAGAAACACCCGCCTAACAACGATAAACCTGAAACAAGATACAATCATGAGTATAACAGTAATTTCCTACAATGGATCAAAAAAGTATTGGCACGCTCAGTGTCTGACAATAATCCAAATTATGAAAGTAACATATTGAACAAATTTAGTTCTTGTAGTTCTTTATTAAGCACGAAAGTGTGAAACCAGTTTAGAAATAACAATGATTTATCATTGAAATATGTACATATACGTACGTATATTGTATATATATATATATATATCAGAATTATGTAATGCTTAATAAAAATCTATATATATATATATATAATTTATTAATAAATAAATAAATAAATATATATATATATATTATTTATATTATATTATATATATATATTTATAATTAATTAAATAGCAATATATATTTCTAAAATGCATAGAAACATGACACTTATATCATGCTTGTCTCTCAACTACTATAATCATTGTAATCTTTACATACCTATGTTTATGGAAAATAATAAAAACCATAGCTGAATTGGAGAGAATCATAATCAAAACTTCCGACACATTAAGAGCCCAATCCTGTGCTGCAATATTATCCAATACCACATCTGGTAGAGGTCCGTATGTGTTTCTGTCCGGGACTCTTTCGTGCACCATTGCAAGGGACGCTGTCGTTAATATGAAGTTCACGACCATAAATAAAAAAGCTGCAACAGAACCATGACACCCATGAAGTTATAGTTAACGGTTTCTCATTATCACGCAACAAATTATTTGACTATCAGGTAAGCAAAATAATTCAGTCACTCGCATATAAGTTTGAATAACCATTTATGTATGGAAGGTGTTTTCAAACATCTATGATTGTAAATACAGTGGAACATCGTTTATCCGGAGTCGGATCTTCGTATTTAAGTTATCACGGATAACCGAATGTGTTGGGTAATCAAAACCGAGAATATTCGGACGTCGGTTAACGACATTCCATTAAAAAATATTTTTGTACCAGGTCTTGCTTATCCGATGGGTCTCAATTTATCCGGTCTGTTTCGGTCCCAATGGGACCCGATAATCAAGGTTTCACTATAACTACAAAAACGTAGCTAACATAAAAAAAAATCAAAAAACATGTTGTTCAATTGTTTTTTATGCGAATTACGATGATGATATAATTTTTCATTTGTAATTTTCTAGGTCCAATTTGAATTAATTTTTAAGCTTGTTTTCTCTTGTTTATCAAAGGAAATTTACATTATTCAGTCCCAAATGTGTGAAAGCTTTCGTACAAGCATAAAAAATAAAATACACTTTTGAGTTAAGAAAAGTTTAAGACATTCAAAATCGTTCTTCATCAATTTAACAAGACACGTTTCAAAGGGGCATGGACATTAAGGCGTTGAAGAAACTTCACAAATGTATCATTGGAAGAAACTAAAGCTAAATCGTTCGACATGAGGAACGATGTTACTAGACCGATTCGTTACTTATTTTTAATCTCGTACGGCCTTGGACGATAGGTTCGATGACACGCCCTACAGAAGCTTTATCATTCAATTTGACCCACTACCTCCTAAGGAGGTAGCACGCGTGTATATGCGAACAAATTTATTATTATAAATGTAAATTAACTCATAACGACGTGAAAACGCAAATAAAATAATTTATGTATTATGTTGTTGAATTATAAAAATTACTACACAAAACCACATGAAAAATGTATCTATGATACAAGACA